TCCCTTTTCGAGTGGTACGCACTAGGACATGTTTCGCACTGACCAATCATGTCAACCTCAACACGTCGACACGTTGGCGATACATCTCGAGTTCGCCAACGAGGTCGCTTGGTTGCACGTGACGGTCAGCGGAGTGTTCACGCGTGCGTTCGCTCGAAATCTCCCATGAGCTTGCACTCATATGTTGGCTGCGCCATCAGTTCCCTCCAAAAATGAGCCAAGTTCGACCCACGGGTCACGTTCCCAATGACAGTCGAGACGCGTCCCAGCAAAAGCTGCAATCGATCCAATATGTATACCAGGGCGAGGAGTGCCCCCAAACACTCTAAAGGCTACAATGCTAGCGGTATTCGCTGCGGGCGTTGCTCCGTAGCTTGACTAGTCTCGCCGAATTCATCCACGTAGAAGCGGAAGGTTTGGCGATTGTCCGTATAGACCGACCTACTGGAATAGGGTTTCTTTCAATATCAGCCGACACGAGGCGTCCCAGCAAACGATGAAAACGATACAATGGTTTTGCTCTGGGAGACAAACGAAACTCAACGTTTACAGTTATCTTTCCAATTGCATTTAGTTTAGTTTTCCTAAAGCCCGAGCGAAGACAGCGAGAGCATAACTCCCGCAGACGCCCTTTCTATCATGCCTCTGCCTCTCTCCCAATAAATACTGTCTCCCTCTCTTCCCCTCCATACAGCAACCAAGAATGCTATTTCCTCCCGTGAAGGGAATATATCTTACTGCACGTACATCAATCGTGTCAGGTGCCCAAGTCCCCAAATAGTACCTGCCACTCTTTCTCATTACCTACAAGGACGGTACCGGATATCCTCTCCTTTTCGCCGCCTTCGAAAGGAAAGGCGTGGGTGGGTGGCAGTGTATTCTCTACTTGTTGTCAGCTCTTGAGGCTCGCAAAGTCACTAGGGTCCTTCCATGTGTCCACCTTGCTCGTTGTTTGTGCGCTACTTTCTCTCTCTGGCACGCGAAGACTCTGTGAACACAACGAAACGTGACCACTGATTACAACCTCTATCCAATTCTTGACGAACAAATACATCCGCCTTGCTGTGAAGAACGCTATGGAGCAAGAGGGACCACCGAAATGACTTGACGGCCAACCACTGACTCCACGTTTTTATAAGACCTTGGTAGGTGGTGTCGCGACAACAAATCATGATCCCTCTCCCTTTTCGAGTGCGCACTAGGACATGTTTCGCACTGACCAATCATGTCAACCTCAACACGTCGACACGTTGGCGATACATCTCGAGTTGGCCAACGAGGTCGTTTGGCTGCATGTGGCGGTCAGCGGAGTGTTCACGCGTGCGTTCGCTCGAAATCTTCCATGAGCTTGCACTCATATGTTGGCTACGCCATCAGTTCCCTCCAAAAATGAGCCAAGTTCGACCCACGGGTCACGTTCCCAATGACAGTCGAGACGCGTTCCAGCAAAAGCTGCAATCGATCCAACATGTATACCAGAGTGAGGAGTGCCCCCAAACACTCCAAAGGCTATGATACTGGCGATATTCGCTTTGGGCATTGTTCGAATTGTACCAGCGAGTTTATCCACGTAGAAGCGGAAGGTTTGCAATGTCAGCAGGCCCGGTCAGAGAGGCGTCCCTTGTCAGTAGTCGCGGCCCGATCTGACGCCCGGGAGATGATGTCGTCGTATTCGAGCGAACGCCAAAGCTGTTGGTCGCTACTTGATCGCCCGGCCATCAGCAGCGAGGTTTCCGCACTTGCTTTCGTGCAAAAGGGAGCTTTCCGTTTCCTCGTATCGATCTCTGTTCATGCGACGTGCAATGTGGACGCGAGAGATCTACGGTGTTTTGGCAAAAACAATGTAATCAGCCGAAGGGTGCAGGAAAGATGTAATCCCGCACACCTGGGTACCCCTCTCATTCGCTTCTCACTGCTCTCTCCTCCTCTCCCGAGCGAAGACAGAGAGAGGGCACGTTTTTCGCAGACACATTTCGGCGGTCGTTCTATCGTGCCTCTGCCTCTCTCCCAATAATACGGTCTTTCTCTCTTCCGTCGAAACAGCAACCAAGGATGCTATTTTCTCCCGTGAAGGGAACCAATCTTACTGCATGCAGTAGTCTCAGATGCCGAGGCCTCCAAATAGTTCCTACCATTCTCTCCTATTAGCGACGCGACAAGTACGGTACCGGATATCCTCTCCTTTCCCCCGCCTTTCAGAGAAAAGGGGTGGGGGGGATAAACTCTACTTGTTGTCAGCGCCTGAGACTCGGAAGCCACTAGGAGGGTCCTTCTATGTGTCAATCCTGCTCGTTGTCTGTGCACTACTTTCCGTCCTTCTTGCACGCAAGACTCTGTGAACACGAGATGTGAACAGAGTGGTGGCATATGCGACCCCTTCTCTCGTTTGAGGGGCCCCGTACTACGAAATTCTTTCCCGGGTACCCCCAACATATACGGCATGGCAATTCGAAGAATCGTTTCAAATCAACTCGGTTTGTTCATTGTCTTCGCCTTTGTCTACGCCTTAAACAAACCTGCCCTTACAGTGACTGCGGTGGTGGCACTTGCAAAATATTCTGCAATGTGCACCCGTTCACTACTCCGCTGTCGCGGCGACAGAGGCGTGGTGCGGGTGGGTTGCATCTACAGATGCAACCAAGAACATCCACACCCGGTCGAACAACCCTTTGCGGCACGCTACAGTGTCTCTGCTATACGAGTGGGACATCCCTGTTCCACGAGGCAGCCGTTGATTCCTGTCTCGGGTAGATGGGCCCTTCAAGGGCCAGTGACCACTTCAATATTCTCCTCACAATGTACAGCATTACAACCACACCACCTCCAGCTCCAAGCCACCGTCAACGCCCTCCTGCACGAGCTACGGTATGCGAAAAATGGAGATTCTTTTCTCGTCATTAAAGTTGTTGGTCGCTGCGCGATAGTCGTGCCATCAGCACCCAGATTCCGCGCTCATGTCGTGCCTACTGCTCCGATCGATCCTCCTCTGTAGTTACGTATGGTTGTCGCCGCCACCCTAGTGGTTTTCGACACTCACCAAACCAGGACTTGCCAATTCCGCCCGCATGGCAAATGTTCGGAGACCGCGGGCGCCTACTCGCACCTAACTACTGATTACAACCTCTATCCAATTCTTGACGAACAAATACATCCGCCTTGCTGTGAAGAACGCTATGGAGCAAGAGGGACCACCGAAATGACTTGACGGCCAACCACTGACCCCACGTTTTTATAAGACCTTGGTAGGTGGTGTCGCGACAATAAATCGCGATCTCTCTCCCTTTTCGAGTACGCACTAGGATACGTTTTGGACTGACCAATCGTGTCAACCTGAACACATCGACACGTTGGCGATTCATCTGGTGTTGGCCAACGAGGTCGTTTGGCTGCACGTGACGGTCAGCGGAGTATTCATGCGTGCGTTCCCTCGAAATCTCCCATGAGCTTGCACTCATATGTTGGCTGCGCCATCAGTTCCCTCCAAAAATGAGCCAAGTTCGACCCACGGGTCACGTTCCCAATGACAGCCGAGACGAGGTGTCCAGGCAAAAGCTGCAATCGATACCATATGTATACCAGAGCAAGGAGTGCCCCCAAACTCACCAAAGGCTATGATACTGGCGATATTCGCTTCGGGCATTGCTCCATCAGCATGACTACTCTATCGCCGAGTTTATCCACGTAGAAGCGGAAGGTGTGGCGATTGTCCGTGCAGACCGTCCTACTGCAATGTCAGCAGGCCCGGTCAGAGAGGCATGTGCCCCTTGTCGGTTGTCGCGCCCCGATCTGACACCCGAGAGATGTCGTCGTATTCGAGCGAACGTCAAAGCTGTTGGTCGCTACTTAATCGCCGGGCCATCAGCAGCGAGGTTTCCGCACTTGCTTTCGTGCAAAAGGAAGCTTCCCTTTTCCTCGCATCGATCTCTGTTCATGCGACGTGCAATGGCACTGTGTGTGTGGACGCGAGAGAACTTCGGGTTTTGGCAAACAATGTAATCAGCCGAAGGGTGCAGGAAAGATGTAATCCCGCACACCTGGGTACCCCTCTCATTCGCTTCCTCACTTCCCTCTCCCCCTCTTCACTGGACTCCGGGTCTACTTCTACTGCGATCTGAACGCACTATTGTCTGTAGTCTTGCGCCGCAGCAGCCTGTGCTAGGCCTGCCCCCCCTCGAGGGTACGCTGATCATGCTCTCCCTCTCGTCGGCTAGGTGTGGTGCGGAGTACAGCGCGCAGTCGCGGCGCATATGCACGAGTGCACATGGCTAGGGGGCAAAAAGATGCACAAGAAACCCCCATATTATACAATTGTATCGTGTCCCTTTTATTGAAATTCAGTCTACTCTTGTTGTATGGCGGTTTTTCGAGGGGGGTCACTTCGTACCCTCTCCCTCACCTATCACTCTACAAAATATGGAATGGGGTGCCTAGGTGCGGAAATTGTTTATTGTTCGTGCACCCTTCTATGAGCGCTCTGAAAACCTTGATATTCCCCGGGAAATCACTAAAGAACTGTAGTATTCTTGGAATTATCCAGGGGTTTTCTGTCAACGACAACAAGTTAAACATCTCGTCTACCTCTCAACTATCGTTGTGATGATCTTCCCTAGCGGCAATAGTTGTCGCCCCTCCTTGGTGTTTGGAATTGCATCTACCGCCACACTAAGGAACTTCGCAGTTTGGAATTCCTGCCAACACGTGTTGTGCTACTTGCCGCCAAGGTATTCCCCGGACATCGGCGGCAGCTGGGGCGATTTGTTTCTTGTGTGTATCATTCTCTAAAAACATTGTTCTGCTCGCCGGGTTTCGTAGCGTGTGCAGTGGACTCATTCACCATATCGTTATTACAACTGCACCCTGATACATAGTCTATATCGGAAAGTTGAGTGGTAAGGTAGGCAACGAAATTTGGACCTGCTCAGGCATGACGAAAACGATCGTCATTCTGACCCTGCGTATTCCTGCCGCGGCTTGTGCGTCATCGATGCCTCGCTAGGGAGATGGCTGACAAAGTCGAACGTCAACGTGACAGCGGACGTGACAGAGACTGGGTAATTCGCTCGTGGAAGACCGGTGGGTTCGCGCGAACTTTAGCAGGGAGGTGAGCAAACGTATTTGGCGAAGAGCGTGTTCTGGCGTGGACGAAATATGGATGCCTGGTGTTCTCTTTCGTGCATTACGTACAGCGTGTAGGCCTGCCTGAAGACGTTTTTCCCTCGGGGATTTAGTTCCTCGAAGTTTTAATGTTAGAATGAATCTACGTAAACTGATGTCAGTAAGGGGTGATAGCAAAACGTCGAAATCCGCCGAATGGTTGTTCCAGCCCTGATTGGGTCTCCTGATTCCGAGTTTTGCGCCAGTTTTGTCAATGTGTTGTTCGTGGTCCCAGACGTCCCATCACCCAATATATTGCGTATGCCTCTTCTTCAACCTGCGGTGTCCACGAAATTCCAGCGCTCCCGAGGCGAAGCTAGCTCAATACGAGCATTATGTGCAGGAGCTAACGAGGGATGGGCTGCAGTCCGAGGCTGGTTCCAATGGTGGTGCCAGCACCGTCTCCACCGACGGAGAAACAAGCGACGGGAGCGGCGCTCTCTCAACCAGCTCCACCGCCGGTGACCCTAGGTACGCTTCGTTACTGGCGTGCTGTTTACTTGGCATACAGAAGGTGTCCCGATATAGTGCCGGTTGAATAGTGCCAACGTCCGGTATACAGTAGTGCCGGTAAAATTTCTCGACACAGACACAGGCCTGAATAGTGCCGGTTTGGCACTATTGAGGGCTGCCCGCTATAGTGCCGGTACAGGCACTACCGAACCCACACACAGCCTTTTTTCGCCTCAAGCCTTCTACGCCAACAGGATTCGGAGACGGTTTCCTTTCGAGCTACAAGTAGCTTGGTTTCTCTCGGTACGCGTGACGTCTTCAAATGTCACGGTATACCGATCGACTGGGTTCCACCAATAGGCTGGGATTTCAGTAGTAAGGCGAGCGAAAAGGAAGATGGTGGTAGTGACGAAGGATATGGAAAAAATAGCCAAGGATAGCAGTGATGATGCCGGGAAAATATGGCGTTGAGGGGAACAACAAGAGTTTCGAGCGAGATGACGTTCCTCACAACAAACGCCGCAGGGGCGCAGAATCTAGAGATGAAAAATATGAGTGAAGAGTGTAGTAGTGGTGGTAAATAAAATAATTCTAAGGAAGGATGAAAACACTTCGAAGTAGTAAGCCTTGGCAGTCACGTAGTTCTCCTCTCTCTGTTGCTACCATTTCTGTCTTGAGAATAGCTCAGCCTCCCCCATGACACCCTCTCACGGCCTTGAGAAACAAATATTTTCTGTTTTTGACCGCACTGAGACTGACGTCTTTTGGTTGGCCATTCGTTTTTCTTGCTGCTGAAGGCTTGGTCTTCTCTCTAGCTTTTTATCGAAGGAACAGGGGAGTTCGTCATCTTCTTCACCCGTTTTTTAGGTTGCATCTGCTTTTGTGTGCTCGTGTAAGGAACACTACATCCATCCATGTTCTACCTCCAAATGTACATCGGATGCGTGCATGAGCGTCTTTCGTTCGCTGTCGAGGGTGCCTTTGAGGTTGCCTGAATAGTGCTACGACCTTCTTGCAATACAACGCATAATAATTTGATAGCGACGTGAACTTTTATCGGGCAGCACGGTCTAAGGTTGAAAGGCAGCAGCAACGTTTCACTAGCGAGTGCTTGCGCTGAGGTGGGAAGAGAACAACTGCTGTGCAACAAATCTCTGGTCAATCAAACTAATTTTAATGTGACCAGTGCCGTGTTTTCGACAGTCCAAGAGCCTCACGAAACTTACTGAAGCCCGCCCACATCGCCCACCTCACGATTGATCCAAATACCGTTCGTTTGGTACTCTGTCAGCCCCCCAAAGCGCAAGCGCTGCACTCTGAAGTCGAACAGTCCTGAATAGTGCCAAGCCGGCACTATAGAGGGATTTTCAGGCTCTGAATAGTGCCGTTGGCACTATTCAGCCACAATTCTGAATAGTGCCGGTGCCCGGTATACACATACCGGCACTATATCGGGACACCTGCTGTACCTGTTGCTGTTGTGGTTTTCCCTCGCATGTTTTGGATGGAGCATATCGACCTGTCTGCCATGCCCCTTCGACCCGATCTGAGTTATGCCAAGTCATCTGTGTACGTCCTTGGCTTCAGCACACGGCGACGCCACATTTACACGCAACCTGCGCCAAGAGTTTCCCGATATGATTTTGTCAAAAAATCTCGCCGAGGCGAGACTTCGTCACTATCGATTACCCTTACACCAAACACGTCCACCATTGGTGTGGCACACACGGCCGACAGCCCGTCCCTTCACTCCCCTATTCTCTATCTATACGCCCCAGCGCACCTGGTGTGGAGAAGGGCCACGACGGCACGGGCCCCGGGCTCGAAGACGAAGGAGGGCAGGTGGGCTTCGATTTTTTCGCGACCGAGGGTGAATAGAGGCTTGCCGTATGCAGAAGATCTCCTTATTCGATAGGAGTTGTTTGGAAGGGGGGACGACGGAGGGGGAAGAGGGTGTAAGCCCCAATTGTCGTTTCTCACACGCCAAGCTGCTTGATGCAGTTTTCGCGACGCTCGTGTTTTTTTTGTTCGTCTTTCAACCTAGTGCCGTACGAAGTCAATTTGCAGCAACAGGCTCAGGGGGGGAACCCCGCTTTTCCGGGATCACCCCCCGCAAGCTAGTTTGTGACGTAGATGGGCGATGACGGTCTCCTACTTGGTGACCCGACAATGCAGCGTCCCTCGCCATATATACGTGCGATGATACACTATCTGGGATGAACGTACTGTCTGCTTTTTATTGTGTACGCTCACACCGCCAGGATGTGTTAGTGAGGGTTGGTTTGGTCGGCGGAATGCAGAAATATTACAGGTCGTTCTGATTTGGCTTGACCCCTTACGGGTTTGGCGATGGACTCTGGCATGACTGTGGCCGTTGGACCTAAAGCATGTTGCCCCTTGCCTTACAACAAAATTCAGGAGGCGTTACTTTTCGCACATGGTGTACCTTCCCGGGGTTCGCCTACCGGTTTCAGTAGTACAGAAGAGGAAGTCTTGGGAAGAGGCGTTAAAAACATGAAGCTTTGAATTTGAAAATATAGGGCACAAGACGATAATCAGAAGTATTTTCGCAAAAGTTCACCGTTCGCATGCTCGTTCAAACAAAGGGCTGATTACGATCTGTGGGTCGGCCGGTGCATGATGGCACACGAAACAAGTTTACTCACAATCTGCTACAGATCTGGAAAGACAAATTCTAGTGCAAAACAATTTTGAGGTGTCTAGTACAGATGCATTCGCTTCGTACAGACGGAAGTTCATATCGCGACATTTTGACACCCCAAACACCCTGTAGCGCGCCAGTCACGCCTAGCAACAGAACGATTGATTGTTGGACAAACTCAGACGAGCCGAAAGTGTCAGGTGAACGTGAAAGGAGTATTTTGTTTCTTAACAGCAGTAGAAATACCTAGGGGATATCGAGGAAAATATTCCCTGGTGGCCTTCATCCCCGCCCCCACCCTGTGGTGCGCACCCCCGCCATCGATGTACCGGTATCCAAGAGCAGCATAAAAAGCGCATTTCTAGGTCTGGTTCAAGCGTGAAAAGGAATTCTCCCTTTATATTACATCTCCTGAAAGTGCTTCTTCTGCTACATACCATCACCTATCACATGGGAGACTGTTATTTTCTGCACATCGAGCCCGTCCCCTTTCGGAGAGGACACGGACTTCTTCTCGCCCTTCCGGCCCAAGTGCTAGAGTCAACCCCATTTTTTCGCATTGATTAACGCCGCCCTAGCGCGACATCGTGGCAGAGCTTCAGTCAGAAACTGTTCTTGGTGTATCACGTCGTGCGAGAGCGGTATTCGATCATACTCCGTGTGGTCGAATATCTCTGGGGCGACCTGAATTATTTTGCAAAGGTTCTTCCCGCCGATTGTTCCGTCGAAGTTCATCATTCCCCGGCGGGGGGGGACAGAAAAGGCAACGTGATATTCAGAGGCCCCACCTGCATGTGTATGTGTATGTCTTGTGTTTCCTGAAACCCTATTGGCGGTAAGGGGACCTACGTTTATTTGTACCATCACACTATTGTACCGCAGAAACAGACTTTCTCGTGGGGAACTTGACGGCATGACTGGACACCCTTATTTGTTCATCTCATTCGTAATGTTTCCGTTTTCGTTTGAGCTTGGCCTGGGTTCGTTATGTAGTTCGGTCAACCTCCTTTTACGGTAGATCGACGGTAGACCATCCCTTCGAGTCCCTTTGAGCATGAAACTAGAAGTCATGAAGATGCAGTCGTTCTATTCTATTTCCCCTGTGCCAAACTATAACGTCTACACGCATGGAATCACGATCAAAGTAAAGAGACGTATTTGATAGTGCGGTAGGACGGCACCGCAGTTTGTTCTTGAGCAGAGGGAACATTCCTAGGTGGTACTGCTGTGTTGAGCAGTTGCAACGTGTGCGCATGGGGACTAGTCACAGTCTACGCGCACTGCATGGCATGCATGGCATCGCATGCCTTGAGGGTTACGGTTTTTGAGTGATCATCGCTTGTCAAGTAGCATTTTTCTTGTGCCTTCTCTCACCCCTGTGTTGTGACCGAAAACATTCCTCGCCCATGAACCCGCACCACTGACGATATTGCAACCATTCACCCGATGTCTTCATATCCCGCCCGAACAGTATTCGTGCCCCTTGTAGTACCTGTGAGCCGGCCTATGTAGCACACACCTCACTACAGTATGCCTACGGCTGCACGGTCAGTGCAAACGGTAACCTCGCACGCCTGACCGATCGCCGCTTTCGGATGTGCTATACGTGGGCGCCCTTGACTAGCGCTTGTTTGCCCCCGGACGAGGATGCCCCCCCTTCCAATAGTGTCACCAACCACGCTTCAGAAGCCCTCGCCACCTCCCCCCCTGCTGTCATCCTCGTTTCTTGTCGTATGATCCGGCATTCGTGACCACTCAGCCGGATAATCTCCGGTTTCAGGAGCAGCAAGTGTCGCTGGGGCAGCAGGACCAGCCCCCTCCTGACTTGGATGACTTCCTCAGGGAAGCCCAAGCAAAGGCTCCCCTCTTCGCGGGCATGATTGTCATTATCATGCCGGAGGCCTCCTCCGGACAGGTCGACATGACGGAGAGGTCCTCCAAGTCGTGGGGGTTGGTGGCGGCGGACCACCAGGTCGTGACCATCGACGGCGGTGGGGGTACGGGAGCCGGGGACGGCGATGATAAGGTTATGATTAAAGCACCCCGTACGGGGGCGAGGGCGCTACGAGTGGAACGATCGCGGGTGGCGAATTCCACCGCGTACCAGGGAATGGCCATGGAGGCATGGGCTGCGGCGGAACCGAAAGGTGTGTGGGTGGTATTGGTCTTTAACCCGCGTTTCGTGCTCGTTGTATAGACGCACCTATGCTAAGAACTGAGCCTCACGGACTGGGGTTTTGCCTACCCGCGGTGGAATTCCAGACTCCACCCAGTCGGACTTGGAACAAGTTTGAGTTGTCGCCGGAGCTTAGAACGAATGCCCCGACGTTCGACCCATTTCGCCTGCAAGAGAACTACTTCAGGCGCTGGGTTGTTGGTGTGCTGTCTGGTGCACCATGAATACGCGCCTGTTCCAATGTGATTCTAATTCTAGATTGTTTGTTTCGTCTTCTCGTATCCAAAGCGAACGCCCTCACCAACCTCTCAACGGCGGCTTCTCACGAGGCCTACCGTGAGGAGGTCCGGGAGGCTGGGGGGTTGTGGACTCCCGACGAAGTGAGTGCGGCGCTCGAGGCTGCGACCCAACTGCGGTCGTTGGACGACTGCTACCACCGCCGCGAAAAATGCTGCATCAAGGTGCCTGATGGGAAAAAAAATCACCATCTGGTGGACTTCTGCCGCCGCTTTAAGCGCATCCCGCGGTGAGGATGTCGAACCTAGATTTACTGTCGCCCCATGCATCCACCCATGCCGTCGACGACTTTGTCAGACTAACGCGCTGCTTACGCCCCACGAATGCTGCTCTGGTAGAGCAAAAACACGTGTGTGAACGGTAACAACGATTCCATGAATTCAGTACCACAGGGTGTGTGCGTCTTTGTTGGGAGTGGATTGCACAGTTTTCTTCAGACGAGCATGGCTGCAGCGCGGCTGACTTGGAGCAATGAAAACTCGCGAACACGACAGGTTCAGGGGAACGAAGCAGAAGCCAGTCTCCAGTAGTCAGTCCGGTGATCAGCTGGCCGGATCTCCCAGATGCGGGGGCAGGGAGGGAACCAGGAACTGGACGAAGAAGAAGGAACTGGAAGCCACAAGCGGCTCTGGGAGCGGGGGAGGGGGCGCGGCTCCGCCAGCCAGCGCAACCGGGGACACCGCAGGGATTTCGTCGGGGAGTGTCGTTTGAAATAAACCTCCGGGACAGAGCGTACGGGGAAGGGTTTAGGAGTTCCACTTGTCTCCTCTTCGCCTCTATAGTTGTTGACAGGTGACTATGTCGATTGATTGTTGTCACATTGCCAGGCTCAAAAGTCGGGTTTTAAGCCTGTTCCCTGACGGGCATGCCAAAGTGGGTGTTTTTATGGAAGAATCATGACCCCTCCGCTACAGCTAAGCATCTTCCACCTCCAGTGGCAGAAAGGAATTACTGTAGGCGGGTATATCAATTAGACACCCTGCTTTCTTGTCTGTCGCCATCCGCGAACAGCGGTTGAAGGGTTTCTCTCTGCAGAGTTTTTATTTGTTTCCAATAAATGTGAAAGGGTTGCTCGGATGATAGAGTGCTCGTTGGATGTTCTTTGTTGTGGCCGATTCACTTGTGTTGCGCACCTACTCGGCTGGCGTGTACCACACAGGTTTTAACCACAGGAGATTGACTATGCGCATCACTGACTTTATATCTTTACCGGCGGGACAAGGAATCTCCGTGGGAAAATGGAATGGTGGGCAACAGCTCGAGTGTTATAGGGGTTCGTACCCATCTAGCCTAGAGTCTTGAGGTTGATGTGCGCTCTGCTTTCGCTTGGGGCAGGCAACATGAACCCAACAAGCGGGAATAATTGTGTGCTACCGTTGTACCATATGTAACAGAGCAAAGCAGACCACTGGGGTTGGGTAAAATCCTTTCTGATAGGCTAATGCAATGCATATCTTTTAGGCGTATGCATTCTTGGTGACGTGTTTCGATCACACCTGATGCACCTCAGGTTCCTGATAGTTGAATAGTGCCATCGGCACTGGTTAAACCGTTCCTGTAGCTGTTGAATTCCTCCACGTCAGAAAAGTGTGCCAAAGGGCAGGGGGGTCGAGCCATCGGATGATTGTTGTCAGCCTAACATGCATGTTTATGGCCTACTGGTCGGTGTTGAAGTGCAGTCCAGTCTCCCTTAGTCCTGTCTCGCTGGTTATTTTTTAGACTATACGAATGTTGTTGCTGTGTTTTTTTGGGTTGTGATGTTGTCCTTGTTGTTGGTGGCGTCCGCAGTGGTGTGTGGCGGTACAATAGTGGTGAGACATTCTTCCTGAACCCTTGGGGGCGTTGGCTTCTATTATCATTTTATTTCATTGTGATGCTTTGATGCATAGGATACACTATTGTTATGCGAATCATTTTAATAGTCTATTGTTGTTACAAGATAGTATTTCAGGCTGATTCTTTACTTATATAATACCACTATTTTTCCGAGTGTGTCTCGCCCTCTCAAGCCAGGTCGGCAGCGTGGGTGTGCAGTGGAGCCGTCACCTCAAACAAGGAGGGTTGGCTTTGGGGTTAGGAATATGTGGATGTGGCTATGTTGCATCGTGTGATATAACAGTGGGTGTGTTGCATCGTGTGATATAACAGTGGGTGTGTTGCATCGTGTGATATAACAGTGGGTGTGTTGCATCGTGTGATATAACAGTGGGTGTGTTGCATCGTGTGATATAACAGTGGGTGTGTTGCATCGTGTGATATAACAGTGGCTATGTTGCATCGTGTGATATAACAGTGGGTGTGTTGCATCGTGTGATATAACAGTGGGTGTGTTGCATCGTGTGATATAACAGTGGGTGTGTTGCATCGTGTGATATAACAGTGGGTGTGTTGCATCGTGTGATATAACAGTGGGTGTGTTGCATCGTGTGATATAACAGTGGGTGTGCTGCATCGTGTGATATAACAGTGGGTGTGTTGCATCGTGTGATATAACAGTGGCTATGTTGCATCGTGTGATATAACAGTGGGTGGGTGCGGTTAGGATGGGTCGGTTGGTCACGGTGGAGAGTAACAAAAAATGAACGCGAAATTTAATGTCTTTGGTGATTGTCGTCGGTTGGTTGAACGTGTTGATGATGTTGCCCGTTTCTCTTGTGGTGGCTTGTTGCCTGTGGTCGCTGAACATCGGACAGGGATGTGAGTGGTATGCTGGGGGTCTGTTGGGCTGTGAGCCCGTATCGTTTCCCTGATGTGCACTTCGATTGAGTCACAAACCCTACCAACAATGGGCGTGCGTTCCAATCAGTTCGGGGTGAAATTCGATGTTCTCACATACGTGTTCCGGTGGACGGGAGTAATCCTCAATGGCATTGTACTAAAGCCTATTTCGGGTGGGCACCCTACTATTGGGTGGGAGAATGTTGAGAGTGCATCGTGCCTTGGGCCAGCTTTTATTGGATACGTTGCGTTCAGGTGATGTTGTCGCCGTAAAAACTGTATGGGCAGAGGGCTTCAGTAGCTTGCACAACGCGAAAACGATTTGGGCTTTCGGGGAATCACGCACACCTCTTCGTGCTGTCGCCGCTTTCCAGAATGTTTCTATCTGATTGGCCTCTCCGTGTCTATATGGTGCACATTTTACCCGTGGCGTTGGCGTCATTTGTCTGTACGAAGGACGGCCGTCATGGGCGTCAGAACACGGGCCCACAGCCAAAATGTTGAACGCGCCGGTCCAGAGCAAAGAAAACTTAGATTTATGTAAGAACCTTGTCATCCGTGCCAACACCTTGGCGGATGGTGGATTCGGAGTTGTACACCCAAACCCAGCCACCAACAGTGGAAGAGGGAAGCTTACGTAGCGTCCCGAAGGAAATGGAAGGCATAAAGTAAGCCATCGAGGAGTCTGACAAGACGATTTGCGAGCTTGGCATCGCAAACAATGCCTCACCCACCACTTCGTACAAACACTCATGCCAACTACCAATAGCAACGTCCCGGCATGCTAAGCGGGCGAGCTGCACCGAGGTGGCAGGACGCATGAGCGGGAAACAGAATCCGAACGGATTAATCGTTAATGAGGCGAGCAACACGTCCACCAGGACGTGTAGAACTAGGAGAAGGCGGCGCCGTCGGCTTGCAAACAAGCAAGACCAAGCCACATCGTCAACGTATAGCCGGCCTCAGACAGGTCGCGAGTCTCCAACAGAGAAGGTCGACGAGGGGACGGAACATGATCGATGAAATCCGAAGAGAGGACCAAAGGCCGACCCAGGAGGATGAAACGAATCGCTGCATCACACACAAGTTCGTTGCTTTGCTCGCGAGACCAGCATGCCAGAAACGTTCGACAGACGCCCGGAAGTCCAGGTCCGCCGAAGAATGCAAAGCCGCCTCGATAGAAGAGGGGGCCGACTCTTGAGGTGTCGACCGTAACCCTGCAGGGGGTAGAGCGGTGGAACCCGAAGGTGAAATAGCACGAGCGGTCGAAAAAAACTCGGCGGGGACTCCGAAGAGCTGGGGGCTGCAGGAGATTGCAGAGCAGGAGCAAGCGGAGGTCGGTGCAGTATGCGGCGGAGACGCAGAGTCCAACCCATGAGCCAGAGGAGTGGAGGGATTGGGGGAGTACTAGGGCCGTCGACGGTGGAGACCGCCAAGTTGGTCGTAGCGAAGCAGAAATCCGTGTTGTTGTTGTTGTTGTTGTTGTTGTTGTTGTCTTCACATTAAAAACCGTTTCGATCTCTCTCTACCCAGTACCTCCATATGTCCGTACTGATCCAACACTTGACGCGGTCGATTCCCGTGGTCACAGGCTAACTGACCCTAAAAAGGTACACTCAAATAAACTGGCCCCAAGGGGTCCCCAAGTCAATAGATATCAACGACAGATACTCTAGAGTCCTCCGCTCCCTCTGCGCGCTATGCGAGGTACCAACTGAGACTAGGAGTCAGCATCACAGGCCAGAGAGAAAGACGTACACCCCGCTGTTTCAATCTTGGTACTTCACAACACAGGCAGAGACAAGGCCATCTGACACAGAAAAAGAGAGAAAACAGGGAGAAAAAGAGAAAAAATAGAAAAAATAAATAAATAAAAGGAAACAGGAAGGAAAGAGAAAAGAAAACGAAAAAGAGCGAGGACAAAAAGGGACCAGGCCGAGAATAACAAGGCATAAGAGACAGAAAAAGGCACACAATAGAAATCCGTGTGGGAAGCACGAAAACGAGGTAAATCATAATCAACAGGCGGGAGTGGCTGTCCTGCTACAACTCCCGTACGGCGACGAGTCCGCGTGGAAATCACTTGGGTAGGATCCAGGGTCAGACGTGGTGTGGCAGCCGGTGGGACGGTCGACGGAGACCCGGGCTCTAGAGCAATAACATCATCCGAAGACTGATGCAGAGAATCGGCCCAAATGTTGGGAGGCCGATTGCGCATTCTCGAAGGAGGCGAAACGCCGAGCGTCGTGGACGGCCAGGGAGCGATATTCCAGACGCCAGACGAAGGCGAGAGGCCTGGCGGCGGGAGACGCGGACCGTACCTACAGAAATCGACGAAGTCAGCCATAGAGGGGGCAAGCCCACCCAAGACCGACGGAAGTCGGGACGAGCCAACACCAGCGGCCCGATGGCCGGAAGGCGTAAGGCCACAAGAACAGATCAAAAACATGGTCTCCGCGTCGTCGGCCGGTGTCCAGCGGCTGCGACCAGATCGGTCACATTCGGCAGCATCGGT